TTTATTTATTTGAGAGAGAAAGAATGAGAGACAGAGAGCATGAGAGGGAAGAGGATCAGAGGGAGAAGCAGACTCCCCGCTGAGCAGGGAGCCTGATGCGGGACTCGATCCTGGGACTCCAGGATCATGACCTGAGCTGAAGGCAGTCGCTTAACCAACTGAGCCACCCAGGCACCCTAAATTCAGGGAAGTTTTAATAGCTCAGTCTCACTACAGTGAAAGTTTGCTGTAAAGAAAAAGTAAAAATAAGGCAGATAAAACCAGTTAGCATGGTGTCATTCTTATACATGACCTGATATTGCCATTAGGAGTGTCATCCTGGAATAGAAAATAAAGGAAGAGAAATTATTTCTACAAAAGTTATTTCCCGAAAGTTACATTCAAATGCACAAAGGAAAAGGCAGGTGCTGATTAAGAAAGCATGACTTTAAAAAGAAAAAGAAACTGACCCAGAGAATAGGAAACAGGCAAGCTTGAGGGAAAGAAGAAAAAAGTGATAAGCCCTGGAATAAAGAAAAAGAAAATTACTGGAAAGGATGAAAAGATAGCATAAGGAAAGACTGGAAGGAAAATCCTAAACTGTGGGAGACTTATTTGTAAGATGGTGGTTTTGCCAAGCTCTAGAAACAGCCTATGTGAGTAAGGCAAGTTTGGAAGAGGGTTATTTCTCCCTGACCTTTTATTTCTACTGAGGATACCTTTCTCTGAGACTCTTATTCCCTTAAACTTTCTTAAATACAGGGAAGTAGAAAACCTTAAATAAAAAGTTCCTAACAAAAAGAGCTCAATATTGGATGCAAATAACCTCAATCAAAAAGTATTCAGGGCTGAGCCCAAGTGGCTCAGTCAGTTGGGCAGCTGCCTTCGGCTCAGGTCATGATGTCGGGGGTCCTGGGATCAAGCCCCGCATTGGGCTACCTCCTCAGCGGGGAGTCTGCTTCTCCCTCTCCCTCTGCTGCTTGTGCTCTGTCTGTCTCTGTCTCAAATAAATAAAAAAAATCTTTAAAAAAAAAAAAGTAGTTCAGATTATTACCAAGAAGGGTAGTTGGGCTGTCTAAGGAGAGGCCTCATAGGGTAGTGTTAGCTGGGTGAATAGTACAGAGTCTACTCTCTGTCTTACAAGTTAAGAAATCAGATTTGTAAAAACGCTGAGAATGATCTGGTCTCTCAGGGCTAGACTGACATTAACTAAGCTCATTCAGAATGATGCTGAAAACAAGAATACTATGAAGGAGTGTGAACACATGACTCTTCTTGACAGTACATTCTTTGTAAGTAGATAACATGGGACTCAAATTACAGGAGGAAGTAGCTTCAAAATCTGGATAGAATTGGAACAAGAAAAGTTAATTATGCAATTTGAAGGTTCTAAGGCATTATGATAAAATATTCAGAAAGAAAATTGTCACAATAAAACTCTTTTTGCTTCTAGGTATCAAAATCAAGTCCTTGGGCCACAGTGCACTCTCCCCTAAATAGTGTTTAGATGGAGTAGCCAGTTTGTCCCTGACTCTTCTTTTTCTGTTGCTTTCTACTGCTGGCCTGTCCTCCCTGCTGATTAACATATTTTTTCTTCAATTATAATAAAAGAGCAGATGCTTATGCTTTTTTTTTTTTTTTAATTTTTTTAAGATGTTATTCACTTATTTGTCAGAGAGAGAGAGCACAAGCAGAGGGAGAAGCAGGCTTCCCGCTGAGCAGGGAGCCCGATGCGGGACTCGATCCCGGGACTCCAGGATCATGACCTGAGCTGAAGGCAGTTGTTTAACCAACTGAGCCACCCAGGCGCCCCTGATGCTTATGCTTTTTAAAGTAACTGCCCAAATCTCTGTTCCATTTTGTGTTGATTTTTAAGGCTTAACTCCAAAAGGGAAATAAAATTTGTCTTATTTGCAAATTTCTCCTACTCCCTTTCCCTCTCTCCACTGAATCGACATTAAAAAAAAATTCAGTAAGATGAGTGAGTACCATAGCATGTAACAAAAGACATGACCACTATTGCCATAAGACTGAGATAAAACAAACAATGGTAATAAAGTTGTCAAAAGCTACTTTTGCAAAGAATTAGACAACCAGGAATTAATAAAGATTAGAAGAGAGTAAAAAACACTTGGAAAGACAATAAAATACGTATAATTTGATTAGTGAAATTCTAATTTTAGAGTTTCTACATTATGAGTTACTTTTACATTGTCAAAAGGGAATGCATTCTGACTTAAGCAAACCTGGGCTAGGTTTGTCCTGCTTCTCCACATTTTTCCTCAAAGACCATTTTAAGTTCTTCTACATTTCCATTCCTCCATTCCCTAACCTTGAGCTTACTGTTAAATAGCACATTTTAACTTTAAATAAAGAGCTAATTTGTTTTATCAATAAATGCACTAAAAGATACATACCTGTCCAATTAAAAGACCAGAGACAAAAGCCTTTCCTTGAAGATTTATGTTTGAAAGATACTGGCCAACAGTCTCTTCTACAATGTAGGTTCTTCCCATTATTAGGAACTAATTCACTCTCCTAAATTCCAAGAAAAAAAATATACACCACTTTTAGGTAAAAATATAATTTGCCATGTTTTTGTCATGGGGTTGTACAGAGACAGAAGTGGTAGCATCCTGATACTATCCCATGCCTTACAGAGACTGCTTGTTAAGTAGGGTATTCTTTCCTGCAAAGTTCAAATTTAGCTTCAAAATTCTCAACACAGTACTGCTGGAAATGACTACCAGTCAACTAGAGCTGACATAAAAGATAAAAACCCACTTCCACATCTAAGATAGGGGAGAGAACACTAACACACCTGATTTTTTATTTAATTTGCTACTCCTTAGTTGTATCATCTTTGATAGTCTCTTGCTGAACCTCATTGTGCTCATTTCTAAAACAGGAAAGAGGACAATTTCTGAGCTGCTCTTAGGAGGTAGAGAGAACCAAATTCACTTACTCAATAAGCATACTATGAAGAATTACTATGTGCTAGAAATTGTGCCAAGTGGGATGGCACAAAGATGAAGAATACTTGACTTATGCCCTTGAGTAACTCATAGTATAATTAGAATTATGGAATTCAATAAGTAGCAATGCAATAATGGACATTTACATAGTTTCGATTTTGTATAAGGCATTATTCTAAGTACTTTATACATGGTAACATCTGTAATATTCACAAAAACTCCAGGAGGTAAGTACTATTACTATAACCCTTGTTTTATAGATTAAGAAACCAAAAGGAAGAAAAGAAATGTAACTTGCCCAAGCAACAAAGCTGGTAAATGGCAAAGGTGGGATTTAAACTCAGGCAGTCTAGCCCTAGAATCCATGCCCTTAAATGCTATGTTCATACTATGGAAACATACCTCGTCTCTCATTTAAACCTTTACAAAGGGTGGTTCCTGTTCTGTGCACTCTCTTACTCTCTCTCCAGTTTGTAAAGGACAGTTGCAGCACTTTGAACAGAAATAACAGTCACTTGAGCTGTGTAAAAACCTTCAATCTTATTTAGTACAACAAAGTCAAAGCAACTGCAGATGAACTGGGGTGGTATATCTGCCATCAGTAAAGTAAATTGCCAATCACAATGATTTTGCATTACTCTAAAAGTAAAGCCCAAAGAATTGATTCCAGTTTGAAATTGCCTACTGGATGCTGTTTTTTTCAAAGAGCCTGTTCAGTTTTGTCTCAAAATGCATTAAATTTCTTCCCAACTCTTTCCCAACAACTGTGCAAGTAAATTGGGTTTGCACAAGAGTTATTTTTAGACTAAGTCTAGAACTGCCCATCTAAATCATTAATGCTGCTATAAATTTAAAGGCTTTCCACTTTTAATAGTGCCTTAACGTATTAAACTTTCCTCTCCTTCATCATGCTATTCTACTCCTTTTCCTTCTGCCTTAATAATTCTCAGTTATTCCAAGAAAAAGCAGTGACAGTGACTCCAAAATTACATGTAACTTCCCAATCTTATTTTTTCCAAGGTGTCACCCAGTAATCATATTACTTTAATGCTTCTTCAAAACTTTAAAATATAGCCAACCATACCTTACAAAGGACATTACTAAAAACATAGATCTTGCCTAAAACAGTTTAATTTATCCTGAAGTGTTGTGTGACAACATAAGCTATGCAAGTTGTCCAAGCACTGTAACTTGAGACAATTCAATCTCTTTGGATTCTGGTTTCCTAGTTTATAAAATAAAGAATTTGGATCAGGCAATTCTGAAGATCTATCTAGTTTTAGGATTGTGATTCCGAGTACAGAATATCTGCATTTTCCAAACAGTAGATCACTAATAGTGAGCCAAGGGCATAGCACAGTACTACGCATACCACCAACCTTAATTAAAGTGCTTATATAAAATATTTTGGGGCAAAATTAACTTATCCTTAATAATATTCACAAAAGGGCTGCTGCTGTGGGAACTGAGGGGGGAATGAATTGGGAATGCTTTATTTTCAATGAAAAAGTTAAGAAGTTCTTTCGGAAGAATAATTAAACATGAAATAATCTACAGATTCAGCATAGAAATCACAGAATTACAATCTGGAAACAAGTAGTTCTATTATGGAGGCAAGGTGATAAGCGGTTTTTAAGAATGTGTTTTAAAACTTTTGCTCTAAAAGTTTTTCCATCTTAAAAACATAAACATATGGTAGCACTTTCTACAATATTACCTTAAAACATAAAAACAAAGGCTACACTCAAAGTCCTCCTGCTTTACTTTAAATCCTCTTCCTGAAAAATGAAACGGGCTCCTTAAATTCTTGTTGGCTCGTTGTTACCCACCCCGCCACATACACACAAAAGGCATTAAGCACTCCATCTTAAATAAATTTTGTCATAAATGGACTTCAGTGTGGTACCGGAGTGTCTGCCCATATGTTTCCTACACTCGGTCCCTTTCCATCTTCCTTCAGAAGGAGGCTCTCTGAGCCCGAATGCACACACTCAACCCTCACACAGAAGTACTACACCCGTAGGCTGACTCACCTGCACTCAAAATGTGCCCGCCTGACAGATAAATCTGTCGAACTGTCAGTCCTCCTGAGAAGGAGCTTTACGGTGCAAGTATAAGCCTCCAGGGGCCAGATTCCCCTCGGGTCCAAATTTCACAGCCAATGAATTCATCAGAAAGCGACGGACTTCCCACACCTCACTTCCCACTGCAAACCGAGGGTCTCTGGAGTCAGGTGGCGCGGTCTGATGACGCACGCTGCCCCCCGTCCTTCACCGCAGTACCTCAGCCAAAGCGACTGCGGGCGCCACCCCGCCCCCTTCCGGGCGCCATTGAGAGCGTGGCGGTAGCCCGGCGCCTGCCGTCCAGCCCTGCCCGGACCGATGCCCTCTAGTGGCTCAGTGTCTAGAAGCCGCCAAAGAGGACGACCCATGGCATCCCGGAGCTTTGACGGTAAGGTCGCCTTGCTTTTCAGGGTGGGACCTAAGTTGACGAATACTCGGTGGCGCCATCTCGCGGACAGCGGTTATGCTGCCGGGGGAGGAGAGCCGGGGGGCGGGGAGAAAAAAAAGGAAGTGGAATGGGCGGTGCGCAGTCAGGCTCACGGAAGGGATTGAGGAAAACACTACGTTTCCCACAGGCCCGCGCGGCTTGAGGCGGGTGGACAGGGGAGCCGGAAATCAGACAGGGTCAGGGGCCGCGGCTGAACTCGGATTCCCAGGGTGCCCAGCTTCCGGCGGCTGCGCGCGCACTTCGGGCGCGAGCGCTGTGGCGCGTCTGGTGCCGGCCCTAAGGCAGGACTCTATTTCCCAGGGTCCCGCCGCGGGAGTCTCCGGCGGGCAGGCGCACGCGAGCCACGGAGCGAGGTGGCCGAGGTGGCCGCCCAGGCTTCTGGGTCCTCTTGGTCTTCGCCTTTCTTCTCGGTTTCTGCTCCGCCGGCTGCCGGCCCCGCGACCTCCGGCCCGATCGACATGGCGGCGGTGTTGCAGCAAGTCCTGGAGCGCACGGAGCTGAATAAGCTGCCTAAGTCCGTCCAGAACAAACTCGAAAAGTTCCTTGCTGACCAGCAATCCGAGATCGATGGCCTGAAGGGGCGGCATGAGAAATTTAAGGTGGAGAGTGGTAAGTGGCGACGCTCTTCCCGCCCTTGATTCTGGGCCCGACTCCGTAACTATGGCTGGTCTTCTCCCCTTGCAAGCTCGCTTTCTGCCTACGACTTCACTGGTGGCATCGCTTCCCCGGCTCCTTACACCCCCCTAGGCCTTCTCTTACTTGCTCCCACCGTTTGAAATGGAGCTCTTTTGTTTGTTCTAAACTGAATTTACACTTCGTTCCGTCTTCTTTGTAATTAGTGTGGTCTCGCGTAGGGACCACTTAATGTTCGGCGCACAGAAATTGTGAAGATCTGGGCATATTTACTCCGGACTAGCGAGAGTCTGCGACCCCTATCTCTAAGCTTAGAGTACCGTCTCTTTATGTTGCTTTGCTAGTAATTTCCTCTCACTTTTCTGGTCACCTGGATTCATAGGTCTTTGTCTAATTGACTACTTCGTGCACTTCTCTTTTTTAGTCTTTCGCGCTGGTCAGGTAACGAACTAGATGGTCACATAAATGAGTAGGTGCATAAGACAGCGTTGGAAACACAACGAACGAAAATAAGTTTGATACATCGGAATTCTTTCTAAAAGTTGGAGTTTAAAGACCTGTTTATAGGTACTTACAGTAGACCCTCGAGTAAGAAAGTTACGGATAATAGTAACTTGAATATCCGTGAAGAAAGATTAAGACCGTAGTAATTACCGTTAGTGAAATGCAAACTGTTATTTGTCCTGGTTTACCTGGGGGCGTGGGGGGTACGGTGCTGTTTTTGCTAAGTTGATTGAAAATTCTGAATACATTATCACTTCAAAAAATGTAATTATCCAGCAGAATTGGTGTCGAAAAGTAATTCTCTGAATCCCAACTCTGAAGATACACCGCGTCTGTTCTTTAATATACATATAAATATTGATTGTCTTCTGTGTGCTTGTTACTATGCTGAACAGTATACACTGTCTTTTAACACAACGTTTTAAAACAAAGTAGTTTTTAATCTAATTTTTTTGTACATGGTGTCTGCTTTATACTAAAATGTCTACTGATGTGTGGGGAAAGTACTAAGATAAGTAAGACATGTTGCCTACCTTGAAGAATTTCAGTCTTGTGGAATAGACAGAAGTTGGAAAACCCCCTGTAGGTCTTTCTTTCTTTTGTCATTTGTAAGTTGGAAATTAAGTTAAAGTCTTTTCAGTGATCTAATTATCTTTACTCAAATTCTGTTATTTGGAGTGCAGTTCAAATACTATGTCTTAAATATTAAAATCAACATTGTTAAAAATAAGTAGTAGTATTGACAGTGTGTATACATGTGTGTTTGATTTTAATTCTTTTCTCTGCTTCTGAAGAACAACAGTACTTTGAGATAGAGAAGAGGCTGTCCCACAGTCAGGAGAGACTTGTGAATGAAACCCGAGAGTGCCAGAGCTTGAGGCTTGACCTAGAGAAGCTCAGTAAGTATTTTTACATCCTTATTTTATTCTTGTAGTATGGAGATCTTTAGGCACTCTTTTGTATGCTCTCGAAACATTGACTTACTGTTTACGAAAATACTGATTGTCATTGTTTCCATTGATGGTGGTATTTTGAGTTTTCACTTGATGGTAGACTTCATTGAGAGCATAAGGCATAATTAATGGCTAGGAGACCTGGGTTCTAATTCTGACTGCTATTAAAAACTCTTTTGCCATATGTAAATCATAACATATAAAATGGCTAGAACCACCTGTCCATCTGCTTACATAACTGTACAGATCAAATGAGATTTTCGAAAGCATTTTTAAAAGTCATAAAGCACTATGCAACTGAAAACATAATTAAGGAGAGAGAATTATTTTTAATTTGTTGAAGAATAAAGCTTATTAGTTTCATTATTATATTTTAACTGTTATATTTTTTATAAGTATTTATGAATCCCAGGATATTTCCCCTTTAAGACCTGTTTCTTGGGAAAGATGAGTAATTTCCTTTTTTTTTTTTTTTTTAAGATTTATTTATTTTTAGAGAGAAAGTACAAAGGGCGGGGGAGAGGATCTTAAGCGGACTCTGTGCTGAGCGTGGACCCCCACGTGGGGCTTGATCTCATGACCCTGAGATCATGACCTGAGCTAAAACCAAGAGTCAGATGCTTGATAGACTGTTCTACTCAGGTGCCCCACATAATTTCCTTTTTAATAAGTTTACATATATCATTAAGTTCTAGAAGGTACACAAGATCTTAGTTAAAGGCACTGGCATTTCTTGGGAAAATGATGTGTATTCTGTGCTATGCTAATAATAGGAGAGAGCAAATGTCAGAAAAGATCTTTATAGAATGGGGGCATAATATGTTATTAGATAGAGCTGGATTTTTAATTTGGGAACACAGGAAGCTAGTAAGAGAATTGTTAACACCTAAGCCTTTTTTCTTAACCAGGTCTGTGCCTATCAACTATTTAGGTCATAATTTTTTTCTAGCTAATTTTGAAGCACTTAATTTTTAAAATATGTGGCATGTATGTACAATGGTATTTATACACATGTAATGAGGGCATAAAATTTAAATTTATCGAGTAGCTAGATCTGGTTCATCATCTGTATATAGTTCTTCCTTGGTGTAGTAACTAGGTCTGTAGAGCTGAGGTGCTAAAGCATTTCAGGAAAATTACTGTGATTATAGCTTCTTTTATATGATCTGGAAGGGAGAGGAGGAGGAGAAGATGAGGATAAACCTAGACACACATCTAGTATGCCTCTCTGGGGTATATACAGTTAAGTTTGTGTTTTTTTGGTTTATCATTCCAGATCTGTAAGTTTGGAAAACAGTAAGTAATATAATGCAAAATAGAAAATTCAGACTAATTTAACAGGGTTTTCCCCTATAATAAGCCAATTGTTTAAATAGAACTAAAGATTGGAAGTAGTAATAATGTATTTATTTATTAAATTGCTAGCACATAATATAGATGTGTTTTAGTGGAAGAAAGTTTCAGAAAGTATATTCTTCCTAGTTATCTGCATGCTTTTAGAGAAGAAACTATACAAGGAGTTAGACCATTATAAGTGGAGATTGTTGGGATTGATAATTCAGTTTCAAGCATAATTTTGTTTCCTCCATGTTGAAGGCTCTTTTTAGAGTGATGAACAAGCTGAATCATAATTATCCATTGTTGTTATTTACTCTGTATACATGTTATATAGTTTAAATGTTACTTATTTTCTTGATCTTGTTTCTTTTAACTCAAATTTTCTGATTTGTAAATATAATTCATTGTTATGATTGACTTAGAAGAGTCATTGAAAAATGATTAAAGTGACAATTGTGTATGCTTTTTCCTATAAATGTTGGTTAGAATGATCACAAATAAGATTTTGGAGACAGGATAGCATATTTAAAAATTTGGTCTTGGGGCACTTGGGTGGCTCAGTCGGTTGGGTGTCCGACTCTTGGTTTCAGCTCAGGTCTTGATCTCAGGGTCTTGAGTTCTATCCCCGTGTTGGGCTCCACACTGGGCGTGATGCCTACTTGAAAAAAGGAGGAGGGGGGCGCCTGGGTGGCTCAGTCAGTTAAGCGTCTGCCTTCAGCTCAGGTCATGATCCCAGGGTCCTGGGATCAAAGCCTGCATTGGTCTCCCAGCTCAGCAGGGAGCCTGCTTCTCCCTCGCCCTCTGCTGCTCCACCTGCGTCTGCGCGCGTACTTGCTCTCTCTCAAAATAAAATCTTTAAAAAAAAAGAAGAAAAAAAGTTTGGTTTAGAAGTAGAGTAAATTTGGGGTATTCATGGATTTGGAATACTATGTTCTATAAGTCAGCCTTTCTGAGACTCAGTTTCTTCATTTTAAAGCGTATTTATGGGTGGCAGATGGATGAAAACTGTCATTGCAGTTTTTAAGTTTATGTGTGTATGTTCATAAAATTCCTTTTATCCAGACAATCAACTGAAGGCGCTAACTGAGAAAAATAAAGAACTTGAAGTTGCTCAGGATCGCAATATTGCCATTCAGGTACAAGTTATTCCTGTGAATAAAGCTAACTATAAACATGATACTTGAGGAAGTATTCTATTTTGTGTTACTTAATGGGAAGGTGAAACATGTTCTATTAGGAGAAACTACTGAAAGAAATGCATATATGTAAATTCCTTAATTGGACCTTTATATGTTTTATTGATTCTTTTACTCATCAGAATATATTGATACTTAATATAAAAGGAAACTTGCTTATAATGCCATAGTTCTTAA